CAGATCAGACCAAGTTCATGCTCATTTTCTGTGTTATAATGTCTGGTTTTCGGAATGATGTATGATATTACTAATGGCAATGGTCAAACATGCTTACTTTTTTGCGAGAAAAGAAACTTGGATATCTCGCTAGCAGCAAGGAAGACTTCCCGGATAGAACTGACGGTCTTTTTGAGACAATCAATTTAGCCCAAAACGACAGTCACTGATAAGTAGCACACGCAACCCCGCTCGAAGCCACCATGAAACACCATACTTGACTACGATGACGTCCATGGTTCCTACGAAAATAGAGACTCAATGAGCTATGTTCTTTGACTCTCATTTATATCACCATTTGACCATGGCCAGCTCCTATTCCAAATCTTCGGAATTGGATGACCTGACAAAGGATACAGTTCTCCAGACCTACTATCGCAAGTTTATTGACGGCAGCCATATACTGCACTATCACGATGTGGTGGACGCGTATGGTCATCTTTCATTCCGGCACCCATTTAATCCGGAGGTCTTCATAATGTCGAGATCGATCGCACCAGCCACAGTCTCATCACCGGAGGACTTAGTAGAATACTCTGTTGCAAATGCCGAGCCACTTGAGTCTGACGCTCCGCAAGGCTACCAAGAGCGCTACATTCACTCAGAGATATACAAGCGCCACGAAACGGTTCAAGCCGTTGTGCACAGTCATGCCGAGTCCGTGCTGCCTTACACAATCTCTGGTGTACCTTTGCGACCATGCTATCATATGGCCGGATTTCTTGGCCTAGGTGGTGGATCGCCAGCGGTGTATGACGCTGATGACTTTTTCCAGGATGGTGATATCAAGGACATGCTTGTTCGGAATGAGCCCCTCGGCGAAGCTCTGGCCAAATGCTTTGATGGCGGGTCTGTGGTCGCGCTCATGAGAGGACATGGGTTTACTGCTATCGGTGATAGTATCGAGGACGTTGTTGTGCGTGCTGTCTACACTTCAAAAAATGCGACGATCCAAACCTCAGCCATAAATCTTCAATCAGGGTTCGCCTCTTCTTCCGGCTTCGGAGGTGGAAAGGGAAAAGTAAGTGATTTCCAGATTTCATGATCACTTATAGTGGCCATACTTTGAGTATTGACGACCGAGGCGCTGGCCGAATCCGAGTATCGACTTCCGAGCCACCCTCTATCAGCCTTTCCCTGTTCTTTCACTGCCTTTGTACGTCAATGGCTGACTCTTAGTGTTGTAGTGGAGTTTGAGGTATTTGAGTGAGGACGAAGCAGTGGCATCCACCGATATGACGAAGTCATCAGCACAGCGGCCTTGGAGACTCTGGGTCCGGGAGGTCGAGACAACCAGTCTTTACGAAAATTCGGCGTGATTATTGTGTATGCTCCTGAGATTAAGGCGGTTGAAATATTAGAGCGATCGTTATTTGGATGGAGTATTGGTGATCATTCTAATTGAAATCGCTAGCATGCGCTATTGTCGTTTTAGGTATCGGACTGAGGATAACCTGTAATTACACACGCAAGTTTCAATCATCGATCCATCAATGACGATTGACTTGACATTGAAAACACCCAGGTCGAGTCGCTTCCACCCCTTCGCCATGGTAATAAATGTTGGTTTGACAGAGGTAGATAGCCTCCTGAGCAAGAAATACTACCGTTATAGAAGTTGGAAGAGTTATAGTAACAAGCAAAATCTTTGCATCCTCGACAAGTATCATGGTTCCCTTCACGTTTGAGCAATCGACGTTTATTCCTCTGAAAGAGAAGTAGTACAATAATAGACGCCGACTTAGGGGGCTCCCTGTCGATGATCGCCGCCCCACAAGAGCGTTAATTTACACGAGGAAGATTGCAGTCACCAGTAGGATGTTTTCCTGTTCTATTTCGATACACCAACACTGATTACCCCTGCAAGCCAGAGAAAGTATTCCTCGAATTATCGAGTCTATCAGGTGCATGGAAACACCTACTGAGTGAAGTATCTGAGCACGGTGACTTCAGTCTGCCTTCGGCACAACGCTGGGCTGGCTGAAGTGGCATCCTGAGACCGTGGCGGATGTCAGGACGAGTCGATAGATGTAGAAGTCGGGTTGCCTTGCGCACTCACTACACAGCAGAATACATACATTGTGGCTAGAATGCCTAATAAGCCCATGCCTAGTAGCCCTGGTCGGACTGAGCGATCTTGAGGATTAGCAGCGATCATGGAACGCGCCCCGCCCTGTCACCCGAAGCCAGGGAGCCCAAAGCTAGGGCCAGCAGGGGATTATGGTACGAGGAAAACCGAAGTTATGTTGAGCTCGGGCCTGTAGGAGCGCGCGAGCACACTGGGATCGCATGTCTCATTGTCGCATCTTGCATGGGAGCAACTGCAGGAAGCACCACACGTTGTCCAATGGCGCCCGCGAACAGACATTGAGCCTGTGCTAGCTCATTCGCAGGAAACATTTGGCGAACACGGGGCACAGCTGACGCGGGAGGTTCCCTGAGCTGCAATTGGGCGCCATGGTGTTTCGAAACACTGGCTGGAAGTGGTGGGTGTCTTCTTGTTTCAGGTGGCGCAACCAACTCAGCAATTGAATCTCCATGGCCCCAGTCTAGCCCAAGTCAGCAAGAGTCGAGCCCCTCATCGCTGATGCTGAAGAGCTACTATGAAGAAGAAACCCCATTCTCTCAGATGGACAAGCATGAGCGTCACTTTCCCCCGGTTCCCTGCAATGAGGCTTACCATTGAGCTCACGATTGACTGTAGAGTGCGAGATTTTTTTCTCGATTCAATTCTCAAGTGATTGTTATAACAATTCACAGCCGCACGTTCCTTGAGGCGCGCGCCAACTTACCCCAAGACACTTGGTTTGCTTGAATTACACGGACGGCTTTACCTTGGACCACTTTCACTCTCCCGCTCATGTCTACAGGAAACAACCCGCCACACCCGGCCGCGAGTCGGTCTGCATATCCAATGGACCAGCAAGACGACCCAGCATCTGAAAGTATGGCTGTTGCCAGAAGACACGTTCAGGCCCTCACCGAATGTGGCCTGCCTCCCGAGGCGCTCCTGCGCGCGCTCCTTGAGCAATATGATGGCCGTGGGCAAGTGCCAGGTAAGAAGAGACAGATATGGGTGTCTACAAGATATGCCCCCCAACTAAGCACTCAATAGCGAATGATGGAATCAGCTTTAATCACAGCTCAAGCTCAACGCATACGCCCCGCCTCTCAGTCTCAACGACTAGCACTACCTCGACGGGGAGAGGGAGCTTCATGTCCACAGCTTCGACTGCAAGCTCTGTGTCTTCTCATGCCAGTCTGATACCGCTTGTCCAAGTGACGACACCACCACCAAAATCTCAGCCATCAACAAGAGCATACTGGTGCCTTGAATGTGACACGGTACGTTATTATTGGCCAAAGAGTACTGCAAATGAAAAGCCCATTTCTGGGCTACATACCTTGTTCACACCGACCACCTTAGCGGCCTCTGACTGTGCTGCTCATATGATTTTAGTCGCTGATATGGATCATAGAAGTTTGCTAGGAAGTTCGATTGGAAGAGGCACGAGGACGAATTTCATGAACGACACAAGAAATATCCGTGCCCAGAGACCGGCTGCAATCGCATATTTTGGGGCAGTAATACCTTCAACCAACGTGAGTGAGCTCGAAATTATCATATCTCGTCACTTCTCCTCTCGAATACATACTAACACTAGTCTTCTAGACCACAAGACAAAACATGGTTGCAGAACATGTCCACATGCCGACAAAGTTATCAGGTACACCAAGAAGAAGAGAGCCTGGGGATGTGGCTTCTGCGCAGCGTTTCTTCCGTCAATGGACAGGTACTATGATCATGTCGCATTGCATTTCGAGAACGGGAGGACGAAAGCCCACTGGTCCCAGTCAAATGTCATATATGGCTTATTACATCAGCCATGCGTGTACGAGGCTTGGAAAGCGCTGAGAGTGAGCAAGTATGGGCATCTCCCCAAGGAACAGCAACCCAGCTTCGGATGGCTTCCAAAAATCACAGGCCGGACCCAGGGTTACATTGAAAACGAAAGCCCAGGCCAACTCCAGGATCTTCTCGAATTCTTTGACCCAAATCGCGGAAGTGCGCAAGCAATGGCTCAACTTGCTCTTGAGAAAGCTTATATTGAAACAAACAATTTACAACTCCCAGTACCTGCGAAGCCTCATCGTAATCGGCTGCAGACACCACATCAGCCTGCCCCGCAACAGAACTATCCCGATACACAAGCAATCGATTATTCCAGCTCTTACAAAGATGCATGGGCCGAGTTTGAGAATAATCTAGAAATGTCACGAAAAAGCTTTGATCCCTCTGCTCTGCCTCAGCCACTCTTCTCGCAACCTCTTCAACTTGGCCAGGCGCATTTGACCGGGCCGACCGGCATGGCTGGAATGGTACCTAGGCATTCGGTCGGAGCACTTTCGTTGATAAGCGAAGAAGAAATTGTCCCGACGACAGTGTCTAATACATTCGAGGACTGGACAAGTTTAGCCAGCACGATGGTGGACGAGTCATCAGCACACCGTTTTAGTAATTCTCAATCTGGATCTTGGCAGCATAACCCCTTTGGCAGCCCAGGGTTCAATGGGTGATGGACTTGAAATTCATCTCAAGGAAAGTAGACTGGCCAAAAGTTATTATTTCGGGGCTTGGACTTCCTCCAGAGGTTTTAGGATTGGAACACCCATAATGAATAATGATTCAAATTTGAGCCTGCTTGAAATCTGTGAGCCGCAACCACAGTTTAAGACTTCTGAACAACCCTCCTTGTACAACTAAAGAAATATATGAAATATCTACTATCCTATATGGACTATGATGTAGCACCAACTTTCTCTTAGAACACGTAGCTCTAAGCCGGGAGAGCATGTTATTTGCCCTTTGCATGCAGTGGATTCTTCTTCATTTCTCTTTTATCGTATTTCAATTGTTACTGATCACTAAATGACTTGTCAAGCCAAACTCGGTGGTCTAATTAGTTGTATCCCACTGGCCTCGGAGCTCTAACATAGTCAACTCTGCCTGAAGAAACGGCCGACAGCAAATCTTTGCCAGATACACTTGGGTCTCCGCCCAACCAACTTGCAGGCCATGCCATCTCAAAAGGCTGGACACTCTCCAAATACAATATTTGCTCATCAGACAACTTGATATCAAGGGCGGCTATATTGTCCTGCAATTGCTCTACCTCGCGAACACCAACAACAGGAAAAGTGTAGGGTGCCTTGGCCAAGACGTAGGCCAGGGCCACAGCAGTGATTGACTTGCCCCCAAGTTCTTCACCAACCTTCTCAAGGGCGGCGCTGGACTTTCTTTCTGCTTCTGTCTGCTCTGAGACGCCATGCCGAAACACTCGCTCTCCGGACGCCTTGCGAGCCTCAATGTCCTTCTGGCTTCGCAGTTTCCCGGAAGCCAAAACGGCGTAGGCATTGATCGCAAGGCCAAACTGCCGACACATTGGAATGACGTCCTTCTCCAGTGTCCGGTTGAGCACGCTCCAAGGTCCCTGATATACCGAGAACGGTGTTTTCCCGGTCAACTTCGCATACGTGTTGGCAGCGGTGACAACCCAAGCCGGAGTGTTAGAAATGCCCAGATACATCACTTTCCCCTGCTTGACAAGAATATCCAGAGCATCCATGACCTCCTCAATTGTGGCACTATAATCCCACCCATGGACAAAAAACACATCGATCCACTCTATTCTGAGTTTCTTCAAGGAGTCTCGAATACTGAGGTTCATCGTGAGCTTGGAATTCCCGTTGAAGTTGATCGACTTGATCTTGCCTGTAGAAATATGAAGATGTTAGTCATTTTCTGATTATTCTTGGAGGACCATGGCACTCAAGTGGAAGTGGTAGTCATTACCAATATCATGCAGTCTGTAATTTTGTGCATACTTTGTTGAGACAACACATCTGTCTCTGACACCTCGGCTCTCCATCCACTCTCCTAAAATTTTCTCGCTTTCTTCATTCTGGTAGCCACTTGCCGTGTCGAAAAAGTTGCCTCCAGCATCGAAATAAGTATCCAGGAGCTTGAATGATTGTTCTTTGCCGACGGCTCCGAGTCCTTCAGCCCATTCCTCGCCTAGGGACATAGTTCCGAACTGTAGAGGGGAGACCCGTACCGCGGCATGAGGAGAAAGCAGGCGATAATTCGCTAGGGGGCTTGGCCCCGGTTGTGCAGGTCCAAAGAGTAATTGGGCAACCTTGCTTGTCATTGCTATAGTGTAGCTTGGAGGAGCTTCTAAGTGGTACTAAACAAGTTCTACTAGAGGATAATGGGAAGTCGACGAAAACCTATCTGCTCTAACTGATGATATCTCCTTTAAATACTAGCCGAGGACAATGTTGGGTCGTGGTCGGTGTGTGAAGCGGATTGACCAGGCGGTAATTTCGGTCATTGACCTGATCAATTACAATCACTCTAAACGCCGACATATGATGGTGTAGGATCAAGTTACATGCCTTTTTCCGGCACTCGTAACTTCAGCTATTCCAATACACTCACCATTTCTTCCTTCGACTGAAGGCTAACCTCCGAGTCTGACCCATACAGAACAATCCATTTGTTTGACCAATAACCAACTAGTCCTCGTATTATGTACTACTTTTGATCTTCAAATTCGTGCAGTCTCGCTCTGAATATCAAAAGTTACGCGGACAAACCTTCGAATCATCTATCCTGGCCGTAGTTACGCAATACATCTACATGAGAAGATTGTAATTGGGGGGTCTACTTTGGTCTTCGTCTGCATCGCCAGTTGTTGGCAATAGGGCGCCATATTTCGGAGTTATACCTAGACTAAGCTGATTCATCAATTCGGACCTTGGAGATTTTTGAACAGCTTTTTCGCTAATCAAGTTCAATGATATGCCTAATACATTAGTCAGTATCTCCGAAAATGCTGTTCAGTTGATAGTGTAGCAACCAACTCGGAGTTCCGCTACGCTAGAACAGGGTCACATTAGACACAAATAGAGAGTCGGCTAGTGGCAAGTCACAAACATGATTTTGAGAAGAGATTGTCGCATTAGCTAGTGTGTCTTTGAGGAGTTGACTTGTACAAAACCGAGTTCTACGGGCAGGTCTTGAGCTTTGAGACGAAGGAGCCTGGAATGAGCTTAAGCGTGGCCCACAAAAAACTATCTCTTAGTGGATTGCTAGCCAACCATATCTTGTTATTATAAGGCGCTTGTTTAATTTCATTCTTTGCCATGACATCGTTGCTTGTGGCGCCATTTGAGGATATTCATCTCAGAGCATCTTGATTACCACCCATACGCTCATCTGGCTCGTCACCCGCATGAACCAGCTCTGAAGATGGAGGCGGCGTCCCTTCCGTATCATGAGCCTGGAATTGTCACGATATTGACCCAGTCCTCCTTTCTCCTGGCTCTCAACGTCGTCAATTATGTCCTCGACAACATTGTATACTGCGGTTTGCTTGGTCAAGTCTTCTTGGGCGTAGCATGGGGAAGCCCAGGTGGACAATTACTTGGCCAAGATGCCGAAAGACTCATTGTTCAGCTGGGATATCTCGGCCTCCTGCTGATAGTATATGAAGGTCTGTGACATACCTGCTCTACCTTCGTGTCTGCTGCTAACGGGTGCAGGCGGTCTTTCGTGCTCTTTTAAATCCTTGAAGGCAAATCTACTCTTGTCAGTGGCCGTTGCCATCACTGGAATTGCACTGCCAATCGCACTCTCCTTCCTTCTCCAACAACTTACCGAGGCGACACCGTTTCAATCCTTTGCTGCGGGCGCTGCTTTATGCTCCACCAGTCTTGGAACGACATTCACTGTTCTCGGGACTAGTAACCTCACAAAATCAAGACTCGGTATTGTCCTCACCACCGCTGCAATGTTAGACGATGTTGTGGGTCTGGTCATGGTCCAGGTCATCTCAAATCTGAGCGGTTCAGACACATCTATAGATGCTCTTACGATCGCCAGACCGATTCTGGTGTCCCTTGGATTCGCAGCTCTCACACCACCTGTGTGCATTTTTCTGGCCAAACCTATCACCCTTTGGCTGAACGCCAAGCGACTGAAACGCCCTGCTGGATATCTCCAGAGGCTCATGGGCAGAAGCCAAACAGCATTCGTGATACATACGCTCATCCTCCTTGGCCTCGTCACTGGATCAACATATGCAGGCACATCAAATTTGTTTGCAGCTTACATTGCTGGTGCAGGTATTAGTTGGTGGGATTCAGAAGTACCGCACGTCAAACTCGACGGTGCTGTTCCATTCACAGCGACACAAGAAACAACCCGGGAGTATATTAACCAAGAGGTGAAGCCTGACGGGAGAAATCAAATCCCCATTGCGGCAACGGATCGTGACCCAAACGAAGACGGTCTAAGTGGGCTTGGAGTCTACGACAAATTCTACTGCGAGCCAGTCAATCGAATTCTAAAACCCTTCTTCTTTGTTCGTTCTGACTACTCCCGACTCTTTACGCGTGAAGCACTGCTAACTTTATCTAGGCTTCTATTGGATTCTCAATCCCTATCACCAAGATGTTCTCCGCCCACATTGTCTGGCGCGGCATTGTATATACGACGTTGATGATGTTTGGCAAATTGCTCTGCGGAGCCTGGTTCCTGCGGTTCTCAGTCAAAATCGGTGCTCCCACGAAGCTTGTAGCTCGTCTACCGAAAGCCTTCAGCTCAAGGATGGCACATTTCTGGGGTCGCAAATCCAACAAGTCAACGCCCCCCGTTCCTCCCACCGAGGGCGCTCCTGCTACTCAACCGTCAAGCACACCTATTCCTCCAACAGCCGAGTCCGAAACCCCATTGGTCAGCGGAGACACACCAGCGAGCTCAGCCCAGCATACAGCGCCCGCGGGCGCGAAGCCACTGTCGCTGTACCCGGCTTCTATCATCGGCTGCGCGATGACAGCCCGTGGCGAGATTGGCTTTCTGATATCCTCCATCGCTGAGAGCAACAAGATCTTTTTCTCTTCGAAATCTGACATGAACGAGACCTCGGATATATTTCTCATTGTCACTTGGGCGATTGTGCTTTGCACAATTCTAGGGCCGCTAGCCGTGGGAATCCTAGTCCGACGAGTGAAGATACTACAACAAGATGTCGAAAAAAATGGGAGAGTTATACGAAGAGATATACTTGGAGTTTGGGGTGTTTAGCTTGGTTCACCTATCGTCTTGATCTTTCTAGAGGGTTCTCTGTATTTTTAGTGTTGAATCTTGGATAATATTCTATTGATAATTTTTGACCTATGAGATTGCCTCTACTGAGTCAGTAATGAACCTCCCTCCCCTTGTAATAATGAACGTGTAGGTATTTTACCGTAAGTGGCAGTATACAGCTGATGGATTCTCAGTCACAGCTCTCTCGGTATAGTAGAAGTTTTCTTCAACAAGGTCACTCCTGTGACCACTGCAAATGCCTTCTCATTTCCCCTTGCTATAGGATGTCAAAGGACGTTTCGCGGCTTGAAAGATGTGAGACACATTCCTCAGACCGCTATCGCTCTTTGCTACAGAAATTAATTGGTCGTTGCGATTTGTAGGCTTGGTCGTAGCACTTGAGAACTTTTAAAGATCAACACAGATCAGGATTGTTAAGTGAACTTGGCACTTCATTTTAGTGATGAAATATCCAGAAATCCTGCGCCGCAATTCGCCCCGCGAGCTGGGGTGACACCACCGACACATCCACACAATCGCCCGAAGGATCGAGGGAATCAACCCTCGCCAAAATAGCCAACCCTGACTGCTTGACATGGGATGTTCCGCTTTCTCCCTTTGAATGTCGAGATACGGGGATATGCCTATACATCATACTCCTCTAATTTAGCATATCTCGGAAGTCCGTCTGTTTGATTTCTACTTCATACCTCAAATTTGTGAAGTTAAAGGTAAATGTCTCTTTATGCTTGAGGCTTGAATACTGCTCCAAACACTCTTAGCGGATGGACCTTATCGTGAAAATAGTGATTATCAAGGGGTCATAGGATGAGATAATTCTCCACGTTCTAGTTTCCTTCCGCTCACTGCTCGCTGCACTTTTGGCCTCGCGCCTTGCCTTCGATTCCAATTTTGCTAGCCTTTGAACTTCATGAATGAGGGCTCGGATTTTGCCAGTCGTTAGCGGCCAGGGAGCATGAGAAATTGCATTCAATGCATTCAAGATGAGATGAGAATGCGAAGGAATATTAGGTTGGCGCTCTGCGTCTTTAACCGCGATCATGAGCACGGTTCTGAGTGAAAAATGGGCATCGTTTCCAGCTGCATGTAAAGCTGCATAAGGTATCTCAAGCGCTTCTAGTAACTTTTCGAGGCTATATCGATAGTAAAGCTGAAGAGGATATTGGGCAGCCTTTTGCGTGTCAATAATACGTAGCGGATCGTCATGGATTTCCAGATTTCGAAGGACTTTGAGGTCTGAGTCTGCTCCATGCATGACAAGGATGATGTTTCGATTTGCGATGCATGCCTCGATTATTGATTTGAGGTCGGATATTAGTATCTGATCAGTTTCCCCAAATAAGAATTTTTTGGATGCTCTTCGGCAATAGCCAGAGTTTCCTACGATAAATTGCCGCGAACTTATGAGATTCTTTATACTCTGCGAGCCTGGCGGGGCTTGGATGAATCCATCAAGAGACCGAGTATCAAGTGTGGATATACCAAGGTGGAATTGTTGCCCTTCAACTGGAAGTTCATAGCCTTGGAAGGTATCGATATCGAGCCCGATGAAGATTACATCCGCCATCGTGGAGTTTGAAAGACTCAGACCATCCTATCTTATGAGGTCTGAGTCATTGGGATGAGCATAGCCAAGCAATCACCGTAATAGTATGATCCCTTGCCTTAGTAGTCCCGCATGTGAAGGCGTACAAGGCTCACTTGCAACACACATATCCCGCTTCACCATTGAGTCATTGGAATAGAGTAACAATTCCGATTCCGTTGCTGTATGAAAGTGCTCGTAAGGAAAGGTTATGCAAGTGTGATGATTCAACACTTAAAACGATGTACTAGAAAATATATTATAAAAGAATATGGTTTGAGAAGATTGCCGGTCTCATTCCATATTGATACTCAAAGTGGACTTGAATG